TCGTTTGTTTGTTTCGTTGTCTTATGTTTTTGTTTGTGTGTGTGTTTGTTTGTTTGGTTTGCTTGTTTGTTTTGCTTTGTATTTCTATCATTCTGAGTGAACAAGTAAACGACTTCGCTTTTTCAGGTATATTTGAAGTCGAGGAAAGCCATAAAGAACTTTCAATTTGTCCCAGACATAGAGACGACTTCGGGACTAGATGGTTATGCAATAAAAAAAAATGCTTCTGTCCATCGGATCGGGCTCCACATTGGAAGTCTTCTCGGAAAGGTGATCGAGGCATGACTCTGCAATAGTCTCTAAAGCTTTATGCTTTAACATCTACACTTCAGTTCCGGTGAGGGTCACGTGAGTATACATCAGAATTCCATCCTGACCGCCACCTTGATAAGAGATAGTATCAGGATAGTAGAAGAGAAAACTACCCTCATTGATAAAAGCAAAGATACTCTATGTGCAAAAGCTGACAGAAGGAAGAAGCACACAACCTCAAATGGCCAGCTATATCTCCAGTATAGGTCGAGGAAAGACAATATCTTGCTTCTCTCCGATTTTTAAATAGACATTATCAATTTCAGTCCATCAAGCCTTTACGAAAAAGTAACAGTAAAGCAAGAAAACAGTAACTTACCCTTCAATTCCTGGTTATTTTGCCACATCGAAGCAAAGCATGCAGCTGTATGTTTAGAAAGTGCTGAACCGTGCCGATCTACTGCCCTTTGACATCTCCTAAAGTGTATGTCTTTCTCTGCGATTTGCTGAAAATCTGGACTTCTCGTGGAGCCCCTGGAATGCGTTCCATTTCTCGTGGAAGAAGATAAGCCAGTGCATGCGAGTCATACGGGTTGTCGTCTTCACTTTGAATAACAAGCGGTGTTCCACGTGGAGCTTTGATCTTGAAATTATGATACCTGGAAAATAAACGCCAATAAATACATGAGTGGGATAAAATAAAATAAAGTAGTCACAATCTATATTAAGACTAATACACATGATCGAATTCAATGCAAGAGAATCATACAAGGTATTTTGCGCGCTATTGATCGATTCGCGGGAGAATCTAGTTCTCAGAACACTACAAATTCGGTCCTACAGCTTTTAGTCAGCAATGATATGTCCTTTAAACGAGTTTCACAATTACAGACAAGTCCCTTGTGGTTTTAGACGAAAATTTCACTCTCATCAGTTCGTGTAGTTAAACTCCAACCTTTCTTTCCGGAATGCTGTCATAGAGACACTTCGGCAGGGCTTTCCACCAATGCGATTTCTTTATTTTCATCTTCATGCCGCTCTTATCGCACATTTCCCGGATACGATACCTGAAGATGTGAGAGCTCAGTGAACGAATACCTCTTTGTTTTATGTTTGCCCGAAGGAGAACTAACTCGCTAGATAATCACATTTATGTGTTAGATCCGTGGTTTCCTGAAATTATTTTTTAGTGTGCATTCGCCTTGGCTGAATGAATCTCTCTGATGTCAAGATCGACATTGATTCGAAATTTCCTCCAGAGCTCCGATTTAAAAGATTCTTTGTTTGTAGCACTGACCCAGGTCCGTGGCAGATTTGTGCCACAAAGACGACAAAGTGTCTCGAGATACTGAATGTGTTCATCCATGCTGTTGGCTTGATCTGAAATTCACAATGTAGGCTTATAAAGGTCCGTTAAATAATTGTCCTTTTACTTTAAATTGGCCGGCCACAACGTATGGTTAAAATTTATGGTTTACACGATACTCCGATGGATCTGAACAAAGGAATCCGTCTGGTAGTTTGCACACAAACAGACTTTCAACATTCGTGCACTCGAGCAAAAACCTCGTCCACTCGATTGGAATTTTGACAAATTGGAAGCAAATTTACTCTAGTTTTTTAAAAGATTTTTTAGGAATCAAAAAAAATGTTGCATACCTGAAAACCTCAACTAAATAGAGGTTATTTCTCGATCGAGCCCTTCGCAACATGGACCTCCACCCGACTTTTCATCTGAAATTTTCCTTCTCGTCATCGCGACCACCATCAGTTCTTTGCTTGTTGTGTGTAATTGCTTGTCTTCTGTAATTTTGCAAGGTTTCATGGGATATGGGTAGGGAACTAAGTCGCTAGGGCTCGAATAAAGTAATGAGTGAGTTTCCTCGATGTCCCACTACGACATCCATGTTGGTGACGTCATCAAGTATCCAGAAATGGTTATGGCCCGGACTGTCTAAGAAATCAAAGCATTTCAACGAAAACCAAAAGTATTAACTCGATGAAAAGTTCAAACTTGGCCAGGAGACTGGTTACAAAGAAGATCCATCCCAAGTTGCGAGTGATATGCGTCGCGCTAAAAATGAAAACGGAGAGCGTCGATTTTCTGTTGGCAAGTTTTTATCACCACAGAAGATAAAGTCGTACTTCTCAAGGTCAGTAGCAAAGATCAAACAGGCGGAATCGGTAGCAGAGATCGATGTACCAGCCATTGATGAAGAAATGGCATACTCCTCAGCTCATGACAAGATAATTCAAGAGTGCCAGCTTAGTCATCCCATTTTGTATGACACATACAACCTCTGTCAACTGTATGCCACGAACAAGCTTACTCGTTTCATTATTTCTTTCCTTCAAGATATATGCACATATTTCCAATTGGAAATTGATTCCCTTCCTGCTACACGAAAAGCGCCATACGTTGGTCTGATCAATGAACTGATAAAGTCGTGTACGGACAAAGAAAAATAGAAACTTTCCAGCTGGAAGTGACCGTAGTCTTCGTATTCAGAAAGTAATGACTCCTGGAATAGAGGGACACCAACATTATTCCAACTGCCTTGAGAGAAATAAATACAATAGGTGCATATGCGTCATACACAGCTACGATACGACATTATCCCTTTGTAGCTTTGTTATAAAAAAAAATTGGCAGTGAAAACCTCACGTTTACATAAACATGTTTTAGATCGAAGGATTTTATAAAGACCAACCTTGTTCTGGTAAAAACGTTGGTCATCTTCTTTATTATTTCCACTTAATGGGCTTCCCGTGTGTAACGCAACGTAACCATCGATCGTGCTGTGGTGGCGAGAAATGGTAGCATGGATAAGTCTTGAAAACGGTGGAGCGGGTTAAAGTGCATACTCTTGGCATGGAAACCACTTCTAAAGGTAAAATTTTGTGTAATTATAGCCTGGACAATTCCTTTTGATGCTAAAAAAGCGTTTGTTATCGTTGGGTTGTAGTATTAGTTGCGAATATGACCGTTGTAACAACATGAACTAGTAATTTGCATATACTAGACTATCGAAAATTGCCCAGATTGCTATGACTTTTTGGCTTCAGGAGAAAATTATATGTATATTTAACATGAAGGAGACCTGTTTCGAAGTTTTTATATGATATAAGAGGAAATTCGAGTGTTTTGGTAATGTTTTTCTTGATGTGACGTGCAAGTCATGTTGGTCACGTAAGGCGACTCTTGAGCTCAAATACACTTATATAAATCGCTCTAAAAATTAGTGGTTTGAGTAGCCCAAAAACTTTATTGCAGTTTCTAAAAGAAGAAACCTTATTCTTGAGAATGGTTATTGTCTCATGGTCAGTCTATGGAGCCATGTGACAATGGCCGATTTTAGTCGCCAAAGTTGAGCTATGTTTGATGAATGAAATTTTACCTGAATTAGAAAATTCGTAAAAAAAATCGCTTTTCAAGGAATTTTGGAAAAAATACTTCACAACCTTTAAAAAATATCTCTTGTTTTAGAATTGTTATATTGTTTCCGAATTGCTAGCGAAATAAGTTTTTTTCGGCCGTTATCTTTAGGAGCACTATTTCACCGGGAAAACACGGTTATGAACCCCCAAAACACAAAATGCCACCGTTCTCCCAACATAATTTTTTTTCGGAATTTTTTATATTTTTCCATAACTAAGGCCATTTATACCTATGTTCTGGCAAAGTTTGAAAAAATGTTAATTTTTTCATTTTCAACACCTTTTCTCGATTTTCACAGACGACCACTCTTAAACCACTCTAAGTTTTATCCAATGCTCTGATATTGTTTACAAAGGATTAATTCGTTTGACGGTCTTCACTGCGGACTCATTTTAGATTTTCAGTTTTTTGAAGCAAACGGTTTTGAAACATCTGTTGATGTTCGCTCAATGCAGTCTTTAAATCGAACTAAACGCTCAGCGTCCCGCTCATTTAGAAAAACCGCAGCTTTAAGACGAGCTTTAGTTTCAATAGACAATATTATTCGTTACCTACTTCTGCACTGTGTCGTTTTGGTCGACTGAACTGTTCAGAAGAAAATTTTGCGGCAGATTTCTTCAAAAACTTTCATCACATGTGCAGCATTGTCAACCGATTCGTTCAATAAAAACTCGAATTACCGGAACTCCAAGAATGCGAAACAAGAGCCCTGTTTCAATTTTTCATGTCAGGTAGGATTTTACCAAGCGTACACGTGCGTTCGAGAAGGTAGAGCTATTATTTCACGAGAAACTGAACAAATTTAGAATATTATTAACTCAGTATAGGCTATTTAAAGCTCGTTAACTTGTACTTTGTAAAATATGTCGTTAATTAATTCAAAACATTCATGATAATCCGTGTAAATGTTTAATTTAATGAAGGATCGATCGGCACTGGAGCAGCAACCCTCTGAAACCGCATCCCGCGTAGTCTTTAATAAAAAATGTTATAGTTAATTTTACTTCTTTCGCTTCCTTATAATAACATTCATGAGAGTATAATTTAAGTCAAGAGATTATAAGACATTATATATCCTCTTGTGCACGTATATCTTTCCTTTGAATTAATAATTTATGCGCTCAAAAAAAAGTTTAGTAGCATGAAAAATATTTTTTAAAAGTTTTGGTTTGTGTTTCCATTAACTTTCCTTAATTTTGTTTTACGTGACTAGCAAAAAATACTATCGACAGACCTCGAGCAAAAATTTAAGCGACAAGCGTTCTCTATCGGTCAGCTTTGCACTGAAAGTACTTATACGATCATATATAACTCGAGGATGGTCTAACTCCATGGACAGCAAAGTGCTTGTCTGATTGTCTGCTTCATTGCTCGTCTCACCTCACTAATCTTCCAGCAATAGAGAAACGGGTTTAACGTCGAGTTAAAGTAAATAAGGATAGCTGCTATTTCCCTTGCGACGACTGAGGTTGATGAATGTGTTGTACTAGAAGTGATTACAAATACCACAAAAGGGCATGGTGCATAACAAATAACTAATACTGACTGTACCCACAGTGCACTGTGCACTGCTTTTCTGTATCGCGCCATGTTCAGTGCATTTGGTTGGCTCGGCTGTTGTTGAACTTGTGCCTGATGATGTCTAAGAGTGCGAAATATCTTTGTGTACGAGGCGAGTGAAATAAGCAACGAAAGTGGTACCGATATCAAGATAAACAAATTGGTTATACGCTGATCGAAAATGATGCATAAAGAGGCGACAAGACATAAAACCCAAAAGCTTGCTATAGTGATATAAATACGCTTCAAAGTTACAATCTCTTTGTATCTCAGCCCCAACAACAGGGCAAGAAGCCTGTCCACGCTTATTACCGCCATCGTCAGCAAAGAAACTCCACATAATGCTACGCCTGTAATGTAAGATGCTTCTCTTGCGTAATCACAAAGGCTCCAGTGTTCGTGAACCGCGGACATCAATGTAATAACATGGAGAGGCTGAGCAACAAGACCAACCAACAGGTCAGTTGTTGCCAGACAGCGTAACAAGAGTTTGGACGGCGGATGAAGGGAAGATTCCTTGTGAAGGGCAATAAGGATGAGAGAATTACCAAGAAATGCTGTGACCGCGAGGAAAATGTTGACTGCTGCGAAAGAAACTGATGCTGATTGAAGCCCATCCATGATCAAAGAGGGGGAGCATACCAGTTCTTCAAATGTTTTTGTCTTTGTTCCACCTCTGGTGAAATTTGTTGTCGACATAATTCTGCACTCGTTTCCTCTGTTCTTGCGACGAGAAATATTTCGTCTAAACAGGACACACCGAACTATGATAACTGAAACCTTTCATAAAGACTTCCTCCCTCGCGTTTAATCATTTAAAATGCGTCAGAAATTTGCAGCTGTGGGATGCCTCAGGTATGAAACTGATTCTGGTTGAAGATCAACCAACAAAGAGGAGAGCATAGCAGTTCTTCAATTGTTTTCGTCTGTGTTTCAACTCTTGTGAAATTTGTTGTAGGTTATCTAAGATTGCAACGAGTAATATGTCGTCTAAACAGCCCACATCCAGCCACGATCAATTACACCTCATACTTCAATTAATGATATTTATACACACTGAGAATTCTTCATCAGTGTTTACTCGTTTAAAATACGTCAGAAAATTGTTTGTTGTGTCCAAAAATTGAACCTTTGAAGCATCTCAGGTATGAAATGGCAACAAGTAGAAAATGGAGAGACATCTGTGGTATCATTCTTTTATAAGAATGACGAACAATCTCCTTTTATCTAGATAAACTGTTACTGATAGGGTGCTAACCTGGTGTCCATATTATTCGTATGAAGTTCAGACTTGTATCATTAGTAGCCATGAAAAATTAGGAATAAAAATTTCAAGCTGGCGATTTTATTTGGTCATAGAAAAGTGCGATTTGAGACAATCTGCGAATGCATCAAACAATTCAAATTTAAATTTTGGTCACATATGTAAACGTATTTTTAAATGTTTGAATCAATTTGTAATGACAGGTTTTTCCTGTCCGTTTTTCGTCCCCGGACTGATATTAATAACAAAACCGTACCAAGATGTTATGCCGCGCGCCATCGATTTTTCAAACTCGTTCTCTACCAGCTTTTTCACTTTCGTCAGGAAAGTTATGATGATTTTTTTAACAGAAACTGTTTTGTCTAATTTGCCTATTTCGCTCCATGATGTCATTTCCTTTCTTCATCCCTTTGGTCAACAAGATAAGAAAAATAGGCGTTAACTGAAAATAAAGGAGGCGGGGAAACCATTGTTTTGCACCAGCCATGATGGCCTAACGCGCTTGGTATCTTTTAATCCCAGAGTTCCATCGGGTACCGACAAAACGAGAAACAAAACAGAAGAAAAGCAGGAAATTACTTTCTGAAACAATTTTTCGCTGTTTCTTTTACGTTCTCTATTTGTTCTCCTCCTTAACTACACCTTGTTAAACCTACATAAACAACATTTATTATTTATGAACCTACAATCACTCTTGGTTGCGTGTTAAGTAACTTCCGCCTACCTTTCAAGCTCTCCAAACTTCCTGCGTTTATCGTATATTTGATGACCGCACAGTGACACACGAAACAACTGTTAAAAATACCCTGTCAAAGATTAGGAAAAATAAGTTAACCACCACAGATTCACCGCCTCGTTTTAGGTTGGAAAAAATTTGGTTTTTGCAAAATAATTACTCTCTATAGATTCAATATTTTATTCCGGCTTCAAATTAGTCATTTCATTTACCAACGGAGGATTAGCTGACAGAAAAATCAGACGAAAAACTTAATCGCTGAAGATGCGTCAATCCCTCCCTTGACAAGGGTTCTTTCCCAAGGAATTTTCTTTCTGATCCTCTATGATAATTCAGTACCCTGATAATTAAACAAGAACATGTGCGTCGCAACCAGCTGTTGATTTCAGTAAACAAAGTTTTAGTTTAATTTCAAATTAGCACTGAAAGTGAATTCCCTTGACAAACACAAAGACATGGGCTATGTTTTTTGTTTTACAATACGATATGGGCCTCCTATGTCCTAAAAGATCCATTTTGTCACTTCTTTAATGGGTGAAATAAACATGTCGTTCTTTGGGCGATAATTAGATGGTATGATATTGAAGGAAAGTGTGAGCTTATACAAAGCTTTGAAAACGACTCAATAAAAAAAAATTGTAGAACTTAGGGACAGCAGTTAATCACTTGGAAATGGAGGAAATAAAATCCGTAAAACTCAGAGGCAACCTAAAGATACATAAGCGACAAACTGGACCTCTATGCAAATGATGCGAAACTTGTTTTTCGCTGTTGCCAATATAATTTCAGAACATCAATCGATCTGTAAAAAAGTTCTGTAACAAACAGAGATGGTCAATTTTATTCCATTTACTTTCGTAACTTTCAGTTAAATATACAAGTAACAAAGACTTCTTCTCATGAGCTTTACGGATATTTTTCTGATAACAAAGCAAATTCAAGACTGAAGCTGGACCGTCTCTTTTGGCAATATGGCGTCAACATCAACGTCAAGCGCTTTCTTTTAATTATAGGAAAACTATTTGAGATATTTTTATCGTAACACGCAACATCGGCCTCAAACACATCTCTCAAACTACTCTTTGAAGTTTTATCTGATGCCTTCTTATTGCTAAGAGTAGAAACCTTGACAGTAAAATGTTTGCATATATTTTCTTGCGTTATGACATCTTGTCTTTTAGCACAGCGACAAGAAACCTTATTTTTGAAAACACATAGCTGGGGCTACTAAGTCCGTCGTTAAATTGTTCACGGAGATATAAAGACTATCGATAACAGCTTGCGCAACTGTTTCGTTGAGCCACTTATTTGGTTTTATCCAATAACTTATTTAACGACTGCTCTCTAATAATAATCGTGACTTTATAAGCCTGCTTTGAAAGTCTGATGAACAACTCAAGAAAGACCTATTTTAGCAAAGAGCTTCTTTCAGTGTCCGCTTCACTGCTTGTCTCACTGCACTAATCTTCCAGCAGTATAGGAACGGGTTTAAAGTCGAATTAAAGTAAAGTAAAATAATTGCTACTTTCCGTACGACGACTAAGAGTAATGAGCATTTGTTAGTGCGAGTGACCACAATTTCCACTGTATACATTGGCGCATAACAAACAACTAATGCTAACTGCACCCACAGTGCACTGTCCACTGCCTTTCTGAATCGTGCCATGTTCAGTGCATTTGTTTGGCTCGTCCGTTGTTGATCTCCTACTTGTGCTTGATGATTTCTGAGAGTGCAAAAAATCTTTGTGTACGATGCGAAGGATATTACCAGGCAAAATGGTGAAACTAGGCAGCTGTACAAATAGATTATACTAGGATAAAAAATTCCACATAAAGAGGCGACAATGTTAAAAACCCAAAAGGTAGTTACAATGATATACGTGCGCTTCAAAGTTACAATTTGTTTGTATCTCAGCCCCAACAACAGGGCGAGAAGTCTGTCCACGCTTATGGCCGTCATCGTCATCAAAGACACTAAAATCAATACATAGCTTGTGACGTAGCCTGCGTCCCTGGCGTATCGACAACGGCTCCAATGTTCTTGAAACACGGACATCCAATATGTAGCATAGAGAGGCTGGGCAACAAGACCAACCAACAGATCAGTGGTTGCCAGACAACGATACAGGAGTTTGGACGGCGGATGTAGGGAAGATTCTTTATAAAGGGCAACAAGGATGAGAGAATTCCCAGCAAATGCTGTGATGGAGAGGAGAATGTAAACTGCCAAGAAACAAATTGATAGTTGTTGATGCCCACCCATCAAAGAGGGAGAGCATATCAGTTCTTCATATGATTTCGTGTGACTTCTGCCGCTACTGAAATTTGATATCAACATAATTCTGTCGTCGGCTTTTCCCTTTTCTTGTGGGTCTCTGTTCTTGCAACGAAAAATGGCAGCAATGACTACTGAAGCCTAACTTTCTACCTAACAGTCGCATAAAGACTTACTCAGTTAAAATGCAACTGGAAATTCTCCATTGGGTCAAAAAAAATTTTTTTCCTCGGGAACCTTTGGGTTTCTCAGTTATGAAATAGCAACTAAAGGCAAATATAGAAACATCTGTTATTTCAGTGTTTTTACAATGCGGCAAAGAGTCGCTCTTTATCAGTATCAAATTCCATTATAATAGGATGCTAATCAAGGGTCCATATCTTTCGTGTGAAGTTAAGACTTGAATTATCAGCTACGGAAAGCTAAAAAATGCAAAAGCTCAAGCTGGCGATGTCAATTGTTGTAAGAGAAAAATTGAATTCGTGACAATAACCGAATGTACTAAGTAGACTACACAACTATTCAAAATTAATGTATACGGCCACACATAGAAACTTGTTTCAAAATATTTGAAATTAACTGTGTATCTAATTGCGCTTTGAAGCCTTTTTTCTCTCCGTTTCGTATACTACTAGAACTAAAAACAAAATAGTAACAAAATCAAGTTGTCACACCAGCAAAACATTTTCTGCAACTGTAAAAGGAAAGTTATTCAATTTTTGTTCCAGTGATTCTCTTAAACAGTTGATGACTCTCCTTTAGTGATGACAATTAGTTACAAGATAATTTATTAATCGAAATGGAAAATGAAGGGATGGGCGCTCAAGGCTTATCAGCAGTCGATAAAAAAATTACAATTGCTCTAGGAGAGGCTTCGTCTTTACCAACCCTGACCCATATTTCAAACTCACTAAAACTGCCACGTGCTTTTTATCGCACATTGAGGAACGAATAAGTTGTTAAGAAGACACCTGCTTGTCAAGACAGATTCGGACTTGTTTTAGGCCTCGTTTACATGACTGCGTTTCTTTCGGCTCTATAAATATATGTAAATACCTGTTTTTTAAAACCTTTCAAATCTAAAAATATATATCGAACAAATATATCTTTTCGTTGCTCATCAAAAAGAGACACTTTGTGATGAGAAAAGAAAATATATATATAGACTATTTTAATATATTTTTTCAAATAGCAACGTTTTCGAAAATGGGTTTGTATATTTAACAAATAGAGAAGCCTTGACTGTGCTCTTTTCTGTTATAAAGCACGCAGGAAGCGGCTAGAGCACGAAAGAAGTGTAGAAAGATATAATAAAGAATCTGTTAAATTACCCAAGCATTACTTTCAATTTTCAAAACAAACTTTATTTCCAAAGCGAACAACAATGTCGTCAGCATGCTCTATACTCTCATAAAGCACGCTACAATAAGCCAATCAGAATGGTTGGTAGAATGGTTCAAATAATCTGATTGGCTGTACAAGACTAAAGCTGTTCAAAGTGTCAAACCATCAAAGTTAAAAAACCATCAAAGTTCACATTCCACGATAGTTTACAAACTAAAATAGTTCGGCAAGTCGAATTTAACACTTTTGCCTGAAGTTTTTAAGTCTCTAATACAGAATCTCGAAGTGAAATGTTCAGTGAAATTCAGCCGAATTATGGCTCATAAAAACACGCAAGTTTTTTCCACATGACAAGGTAGAAAACAAGCTGTTCAAGGCGAGTGTTTTTTGAATGAAAGACAGCCGAATTCACCGGAACACGAAGATCGCTCGTGATGACAGCGCCGCAAAACTCGGCTGCAGTGACTGATGTGAATTGCCACTCAACGTATCGGAAAGGATATCAGAGCAAGCTCTCATTTTTTCACTCGAAGGGCGGCCGATGTTGTTTCTGAGGCTTGCTTTACTGTGATGACCGGAGATCGCCATGATGAGCGAGCCGCGATGAACTTCGGCATGATCATATTCGCTCAGACACCGTCATGATTAGTATGAATTTTAACAATTATGCAGTTTGGTTATATTTTTCATCATTTCTGTTTTGTTCTGTTTTGTTTTTGAACACTGAACTTTATATACTATAGGAGTGTTAGCCGTGTTTGATTTTTATTACCGTACGTAAGCTTGCAATCTAACTGAGCATGAAAATCTTTTAAAACTCGGAATGTTTATTTTGTTTTTCCTTTGAGGATTTTCGTATCTGCTCACGTTTTAATAACGTAAATTACGGCGCCTGATATGTTTACAAACCTTTCTTTGATTCTTCTGTTGCTACTTGCCGGCTCGCTTCAGTTCCGAAATTTCACTTTCAATTATCGGGAAAAAACTAAAAAGAAGTCCCGGAAAAGGTCAAACATAGTACGATTGGCAGATGGCGTGACAGCTTTAGCTCAGTTCTATGCTCTATACTCTCATAGAGCACGCTCTTTCAACCAATGACAGCGCGCGTTATATCCGAACTTTATTATAAATATTTATATATTAACTTTAGATCCATTGTTTTATTTTCGGACGGGAAAATTGCTGATAGACAAACAAACAACTCATTCAATTCTTTAATACAGAGCAGGAGTTTTATCCTGGAAATTTTAATTCCTCCGAATAGCGACTGCAGCTGATCGAACCACTAACGCGGTTGGGTGGAGTGCGACAAGTTTCTAATCTCAATCAGTGAATTTGAATTTAAGTACAAATTAGCACTAAAAGTTAATTTCTTTGACAAACACATAGATTAATAATACCTTTTTTAAATGACAGAATAAACAGTATATTAAGATAAGATGTCATTTAAGGGCCGATTACTAAATTGAAATATTCTCCCTTTATTGAAGACAATACTAAGTAATAACGAGGAAAAGTTAGCCTATGTGACCCTATGATATAATATATATCCTTTCTTCCTACGTCTGGTTAGTGAGATAATAAAGGTGTTTTTGTATAAAGAAAGCTCTCGTGTAAACGGCAGGTAACTTTGTGATGCTTTGGGGCAATTTTCAAAATTCTACTTTAATTGCAACGGTTACATCATAATACTGAAGTGAAGAAAACAATTTATAAGTGGTGGTCCAAAATCAATGGACGTATGCTAAGGAATTATCAAAATTCGCCGCACAGATCTTCAATTCTACCTTCATCAGAACTCCCTCACTAGCGTTTACTCTTTGAAAAGACTATTGACAAAAGCTCGACGTACAACGATTCTACTGAACTTCTTATTTCTTCCGCTTAATCAATAATATTTTGAAGAGCGTTCCCTAATAACAATCGTGACTTAATAATGAAAGTCTTACAAAACCAAACCGAGGAGGAGGTAACGCTACGGACAGCAAAGTTCTTCTCTGATTGTCTGTTTCACTGCTTGTTTTACTTCACTAATTTTCCAGCAGTAAAGAACGGACATTCAAGTTAAAGTAAAGTAAGACAACTGATACTCTCCATATAACGACTAACTGTGACTGATATGTCTTACTATAGATTGGTGCGCAACAAGCAACTAACGTAAACAGTGATAAATGGGCAACACAGCGGTCAAATGATTACGCATGCGCTTTTAGATGGATGATCTGCTATTATAAACATTGAGAATCTAAGTGATGCGTAGTTTTTTGCTGTTTCTTGGGAAAGTTCAAAGTTTCTAAGGCCTAGACTTATACACATTGTTGTTTTAGACTTGACCCATGTTGTGCTAGTTTACACTCTCGTACTTTTTTTCACACTTTGCTTAGCGGTGTAAATGAAGTCGCAAGCTTGCCATGCTGGCGAGGGTAAAAGTAAGCTTCTGTAATTTGCCTTCATCGCCGGAACAAGGCGTCTGTGTTAAAAATAAGTTGAGATATCTCAACATAAAATAAGACCAAGCTTTAAGCTCTCTCGGAAATCCCTCTTTCAACTATATTACGCATTCAATTTGAAATAGTTAGGAATCTAAACTTTCCTTCTTCACTTCACGTAATACACGCGTTTGAAAATCCCTTGTATTCTTTTCAAAACACGTGCATGCGCAGTGTTTGACCGCTGTGTTTAAATTGGCTGCTATTAGCTGTTTACCTCAATCAATAAAATTTACTTCAAGTACAAATTAGCACTAAAGTCATATCCCATGGCAAACGTGAAGACATCAGCTATATTACTGTTTTCAATACATTAAAGGAACTCGACTTCGACTTTTTAAGTAAAGAAATAAGCAGTATATTTAGATATACTGCTATTTCTAGGCCCGATAATCAATTGGAAATATTCTCGCTGTATTTTAGTCAATTCTGAATTCAATAAAACTTTATGAAACGACTTGAAAGAAATATAGGGGAAAGTTTAGGACAGTTAATCGCTCGGAAATGGTAAACATAGAATCAAAATCACTTGGAGACAACTGAAAAATAACCAGGAACAAGTTGATTATAAAACGACCCATTCCAACTAATATTTTTAAAATTCGATGGTTTTTTTTTTCCATTGAATATTCCTTTTTCCCCGTTAACATATAATTTCAAACGGTGAACCTGAAAGAGAACTTTGTACTAACCATTCTTCCTTCAATTTTGTTCCTTACACTTTCTTATAATAACAAACGTGAGAGTATGATCATGCGCGCGCATATCTTTTCTTAGATTATGAATTGATCTAATCATGATAATGTGAGGTAGCATTAAAAATAATTTTACAAATTTATGGTTAGCTTTTCCATTGCCTTCCCTTTAGTTGTTAAGATGTGAAAAAAATACAAGTTTTGAACTGAAAGTACCAGTACGATCGGGTAAAACTCGACATAGTCTAACTCCATGGACAGCAAAGTGCTTGTCTGATTGTCTGCTTCATTGCTTGTCTTACTTCACTTATCCTCCAGCAGTAAAGAAACGGGTTTAACGTCGAGTTAAAGTAAACCAAGACATCGGCTATTCCCCATAGGATGACCAAATGCGATGAATGTGTTTTGTTACTATGTGCAATCGCGGTTACCAAGATAAAGAATGGTGCAAAACAAACAAAAATGCTAACTTCACCCACAGTGCACTATACACTGCTTTTCTGTATTGAGCTATGTTCAGTACATTAAGTTGGCTCGGCTGTTGTTAAACAGGATCTGCCTGAACCTGATGATATCTGAGAGTGCGAAAAATATTTGTTTATGATGCGAGTGAAATAACCAGGCAAAGTGGTAAAGTTATGAGACGGTGGAAAAAAGTTCTACAGTCATCAAGTAAAGCGCATAAAGAAAAGACAAGAGCTAAAATCCAGATGGTAGCGACAATGATATATGTGCGCTTCAAAGTTACAGTTTGTTTGTACCACAGCCCCAACAACAGGGCGAGATGTCTGTCCACGCTTATGGCCGTCACCGTCATCAAAGGCACTAAGAACAATACAGAGCCCGTGATGTAGGCTGCGTTAAATGCGTATCGACAAAGGCTCCAGTGTTCCTGAACAAGACCAACCAACAGGTCAGTTATTGCCAGAGAACGGTGCAAGAGTTTAGACGGCGGGTGGAGGGAATATTCCTTGTGAAGGGCAACAAGGATGAGAGAATTTGTAAGGAATGCTGTGATGGAGAGGAGAATGAGCACTGCGGAGGAAAAAGCAAATCTTTGATGTAATCCACCTGCAAAAGATGGGGGTGGATAACAGTTCTTCAAATAGTTTCGTCCGTGTTCCACCGCAAGTGAACTTTGTTGCCGACATTGTTCTGTATTCGTTTCCTTTTTCTTGTGCTGAGGCAACTGACAACGAAAAATCTTTCGTTTAAACAGCACACGCCAGCGACGATGACTGAAACTTTCTTCAATAAACACATAACGACTTCCTCATCAGCGTCTGCTCATTCAAAGTACGTAAGCAAATTGTCTGTTGTGCCAAATAGTTGATTTCTTTTTTTCCGGAAGCTGTGACTAGCCTCTTGTATGAAACAGCAGCAAGAGGCAAACAGAGAGACAACTGTGATATCATTTTTTCACAAGGCGAAAAACAATCCTATTTTTTTAGCGGATCGACCGTTGGAACCCGTGGGGTGCCTCACGGATGAAATAGCAATAAAAAGAAAAAAATAGAGACATCTGTAATATCAGTTTTTTCAAATCAAAATGCTATAAACAATCCCCTTAGATTCAAGCTTTTTTTTTTAATATTTGAATTAATTTACATTTTAATAGTTTGATGCATTCGGAGATGTCACGAATCCAATTTTTCTTACATCATTCAAAGTTGCCAGCTTGATCTTCGTACTTTCAGTTTGTCGAGGCTGATAATGATTGAAGTATTTATTTCACGTAGATGATATGGACACTTGATTAGCTCCCTATTAATGAAAGTTCATTAAGAAGAGAGACCAAAATAGGAACAAATTAGCTTTAAGAGTCAAACGTACAGACAGACATCTGTGATACTATAAGCATTTCACAATTATTTTAAACGCCGTCTTCTCAGGTACGTAGAAATTCACCTTTAGCTAAGCGGAGAACAGGGAGTATAACGTTTAATCTCGGAAAATTAAAGGTTTTGAAAAGAATTCAATAAGAAAAGGAAAGTTTTGATTTAAATCCATGCACCCACTTACACAATGTTCGTGTTATTATATCATTATCAATTGCATTTTAAAACATTCATAAGCAATATGGATATTTTTCTAATGACAAAACAAAATTAAGTTTACAACTGTTTACAACAAGGACAAGAGAGTTGTCAGGAGATGCTGTGATGGAGAGGAGAATGTAAACCGCAGAAAAAAAAATTGTTGGTTGATGCAACTAATCTACCAAACAGGTGGATAAATTAAAGCCATTGTTTCTTTCGCTTTCTTATAATAACATTCATGAGAGTATAATTTACGTCAAGAGATTATAGGAGATTATATATTCACTTGTGCACGTATATCTTTCCTTCAATAAATAATCGATGCATACAAAGTAAAGTTCAGTGGCATGTAAAATACTTTATAAAAGGTTTGGTTTGTGTCTCCATTAGTTTTCCTTTACTTTGTTTCACGCGACTAGCAAAAAACACCAGCGACATACCTCGAGCAAAAATTTAAGTGGAAAGCGTTCTCTATTGGTCAGCTTTGCACTGAAGGTACTTATACGATCATGAATAACTCGAGAATGGTCTAACTCCATGGACAGCAAAGTGCTTGTCTGATTGTCTGCTCCATTGCTTGTCTCACTTCAGCAGTCTTCACCTGCATTATAGGAACGGGTTTAACGTCGAATTAAAGAATACTAAGATAGTTGCCATTTGCAATATGACGACTAAGTGTGATAAATATGTTGTGCTATAAGTGACTATAATTCCCACTATGTAGCATGGCGTATAGCAAACAACTAATGCTAACTGTACCCACAGTGCACTGTGCACTGCCTTTCTGTATCGCGCCATGTTTAGTACATTTGGTTGGCTCAGCTGTTGTTGAATATGATCTTGTACTTGTGCCTGAGTTGTCTGAGAGTGCGAAATATCTTTGTGCACGAGGCGAGTGAAATAAGCAGCGAAAGTGGTATCAATATCAAGGCATACAAAACGGTTGTTCGCCGATCGAAAATGGTGCTTAAAGAGGCGACAAGACATAAAACCCAAAAGCTAGCTATAGTGATATAAATGCGTTTCAAAGTTACAATCTCTTTGTATCTCAGCCCCGACAACAGGGCGATAAGTCTGTCCACGCTTATCACCGCCATCGTCAGCAAAGAAACTCCACATGTACTCCTGTAATGTAGGCTGCATCCCATGCGTAATGACAAAGACTCCAATGTTTGTGAACCACCGACATCCAATAAGTAACACGGAGAGGCTGAGCAACAAGACCAATCAACAGGTCAGTTGTTGCCAGACAACGATAGAAGGGTTTGGTCGGCGGGTGGAGGGAAGATTAAGAGCAACAGGGATAAGAGAATTTCCAAGAAATGTTGTGATGGAGAGGATAATGTCAACTGCTGCGAAACAATTTGATAGTTTTTGATGCTCACCCACCAAAGAGGGAGAACATAGCAGTTCTTGATATGATTTCATGTGACTTCTACCCCTATTGAAATTTGTTGTCGACATAATTCTGTCTTCGGCGTTTCCCTTTTCTTGTAGGTTTCTGTTCTTGCAACGAAAAATAGCAGCAAAGGATTACCGAAGCCTTACTTCCTAGGGAACAATCACATAAAGACTTACACATTTACAATGCAGCAATAAATTTTCTGTTGGCTCAAAAATATTACTTTTTCCCGGGAACCTTTGGGTGCCTCAGCTATGAAATAGAAATTAAGGGTAAATATAGAAATATCTGTTAAGTTGGTATTTTTATGGTGCGACACGTAGACTATACAACTATTTAAAATTAATGTTAGGCCACACATACAAACTTGTTTCAAAATATTTGAAAATCACCGTGTATCTAATTGCGCTTTGTTGCTTTTTTCTCTCTGTTTCGTATCCGACTAGAACTAAAAACAAAATCGTAACAAGATCAAGTCATCACGCCAGCAAGCCATTTTCTACGATAGTGAAAGGAAAGTTATTAAATTTTTGCTCCTGCGATTCTCTTGAGCAATTAATGACTCTCCTCAGGGGATGACAAGTAGTTCCCGATAATAAAGTAAACAGCATAATTTATTAACCGAGATGGAAAATGAAGAGATGGGTGCTCAAAGCTTATCAACATTCTAGGAGAAGCTTCGTCTTCACCAACCCTGACCCATATTTCACACTCTCTAAAATTGCCTCGTGCTTTATTACGGACACTAAGGAACGAATAAGTTGTTAAGAAGACACCTGCTTGCCACGGCAGATTCAGACTTGTATTAGGCCTCGTTTACATGACTGCGTCTCTTTCGGCTTTATACATGTATGTAAATACCCGTTTTTAAAAACCTTTCATATTTGGAAATACATATCATAAATAAATATATCTTTTCTTTTCTCATCAGAAAGAGACACTTTGTGTTGAGAAAAGAAAATATACATATAGACTATTTAATATATTTTTCAAATAGCAATATTTTCGAAAATAAGTTTAAATATATAGATCCGTTGTTCTATTTTTGGACGGGAAAATTGCTGATAGACAAACCAACAACTCATCCAATTCTTTAATACAGAGTAGGAGTTTTATCCAGGAAATTTTCATTTCCTCCGAACAGCGACTGCAGCTTATTGAACTACTAAAGCATTTGGGTGGACTGCGACAAGTTTTTAATCTCAATCAGTGAATTTCAGTTTCAGCACCAACTAGCACTGAAAGGTAATTAAATTGAAATATTCTCCCCATAGGTTTAAGCTGAGGATGTCAAATCCATAACAAACAGTCCAGTAATCTATTGATCGAGAAGGAAAATGAAGGAATGGATACTTAAAAACTATCAACTCTCGATAAAAATATTTCATAATTATTTGCTGGAGATGAAGTGAATATTGTTGAGTAATTCCTAAGGCGAAGTTGAATTAAAACCCGCACCTTGTTAAACCGACATAAACAGCATTTATTATTTATGAACCTACGATCACTCTTAGTTGCGTGTTAAGCAACTCTTGCGTATCTTTCACGCTCTCCAAACGTCCTGCGTGCATCATATATTAATGACCGCACACTGACGCACGAAACAATTCTTAAAAATACCCTGTCAAAGTTAAGGAGAAATTACTTCACCGCAACAGACACGCCGCCTCGTTTTAAGTTTGGAGTCAAACCAAATTTCCTTTTAGCAGAAAAATTACTCTCTATCGATTCAATATTTTATACCGACTTCATGTTAGTCATTTTACTTATCGACGGAGGATTAGATGACAGACAAACGAGATGAAAGATTTAATCGCTAAAAGAGTCGTCAATCCCTCCTTCAACAACAGATCCTTCCCAGGGAATTTTCCTTCTAATTCTCTTTGATAATTCAGTACAGCGACGGAATCATTTAAACTAATTAAACAAGAACATGTTTGCCGCAACCAGCTGCTGTTTACCGTAGATAACGTTTCAGTTTAATTTCAAATTGGCACTGAAAGTGAATTCCCTTGGCAAACACAAAGACATGGGCTATATTTTTTTTGTTTTACAATATGATGTGGGACTCCTAAGTCTTAAAATATCTATTTTATCACTTCGTTAATGCGTGAAATAAACTTTTAAACTACTTTTTTGAAGTTTCATCTGATGCATTGATATTGCAGAGAGGAGAAAACATGTAATTAAAATGTTTACATGTCTTTTCTTGCATTGTGACATCTCTTATTTTAGCATAGCGGTTAGAAACCTTTCTTTTGAAAAACACATAGCTAGGGTTACCTAGTCTGTTGTTAAATTGTTCTCGGTGATATAAAGACTTTTGACAACAGCCTGTGCAACTATTCTATTGAGCCACTTATTTACTATTATCCAAAAACGTATTTAACGACTGCTCTCCAATAATAATCGTGACTTAATGACTTTGCTTTCAAAGTCTGAAGAACTCGAGGAAAACCTAACTCAGCAAAGTGCTTCTCTAATTGTCTGCTTCACTGCTTGTCTCACTTCACTAATCTTCCAGCAGTATAGGAACGGGTTTAACGTTGAGTTGAAGCAAAGTAAAATAATTGCTACTTTATTTATGACGAATAAGAGTAATGAATATTTTTTGGTATGAGCGATCACAATATTCACTGTACATACTGGTGCATAACAAACAACTAATGCTAACTGCACCCACAGTGCACTGTATACTGCTTTTCTGAATCGCGCCATGTTCAGTGCCTTTGTTTGGTTCAGCTGTTGTTGATCTCCTACTTGTGCTTGGTGATATCTGAGAGTGCAAAAAATCTTTGTGTACGATGCGAAGGATATTACCAGGCAAAATGATATAACTAGGGAGCTGTACATAAAGATTATACGGTGATGAAAAATTCCACATAAAGAGGCGACAAGGTTAAAAACCCAAAAGGTAGTTACAATAATATACGTGCGCTTCAAAGTTACAATTTGTTTGTATCGCAGTCCCAACAACAGGGCGAGAAGTCTGTCCAAGCTTATGGCCGTCATCGTCATCAAAGACACTAAAAACAATACATAGGCTGTGATGTAGGCTGCATCCCTTACGTATCGACAAAGGCTCCAGTGTTCTTGAAACACGGACATCCAATATAGAGCATATAGAGGCAGGGAAGCAAGACCAACTAACAGATCAGTTGTTGCCAGACAACAATACAGGAGTTTGGACGGCGGATGCAGGGAAGATTCCTTATGAAGTGCCACAAGGATAAGAAAATTTCCAGCAAATGCTGTAATGGAGAGGAGAATGTCAACCGCTAAGAAGCAAATTGATAGTTGTTGTTGAAGCCCACCCACCAAAGAGGGAGAGCATAGCAGTTCTTCATATGATTTCGTGTGACTTCTACCGCTACTGAAATTTGTTGTCGACATAATTCTGTCTTTGGCGTTTCCCTTTTCTTATAGGTTTCTGTTCTTGCAACGAAAAATGACAGCAAGGATTACTGTAGCTTTACTTCCTAAATAACAATCGCATACTGACTTACTCATTTAAAATGCATCAGGAAATTTTCGATTGGATCAAAAAAATATTTTTTTCCCGGGAACCTTTGGGTGCCTCTGTTATGAAATAGCAATAAAAGGCAATTATAGAAACATCTGTTATTTCAGTGTTTTTGCAGGGCGGCAAGAGTCGCTCTTTATCAGAATTAAATTTCATTATAATGAGATGCAAATCAAGGGTCCATTCCTTTCGTGTGAAGTTGAGACTTGAATCATTATCAGCTACGGAAAGCTAAAAATGCAAAAGCTCACTCTGGCGCTGTCAACTGTACAAGGAGAAAACTTGAATTCGTGACAATCACCGAATGTACTACGTAGAAAACACAACTATTCAACTATGAAAACTTGTTTCAAAATATTTGAAATTAACTGTGTATCTACCTGCGCTTTGTAGGTTTTTTTTCTCTCCGTTTCGTATCCGACTAGAATTAACAATAAAACAGTAACAGGATCAAGTTATCTCTTTGGCAACCTTTTCTTTTCTCATCAAAAAAAGACACCGTAACGAGAAAAGAAAATACACACACACACACACACACACACACATATATATAATATTATATATATACACATAGACCATTTAATATATTTTTTCAAATAGCAGCATTTTCGAATATATAAACCATTTTTCGAAAATGCTGCTATTTGAAAAAATATATTAAATGGTAAATGTTTATATTTATATATTAACTTTAGATCCATTGTTTTATTTTCCGACGGGAAAATTGCTGATAGACAAACTAACAACTCATCCAATTCTTTAATACAGAGTAAAAGTTTATTCAGAAAATTTTCAATTTCTGCAGCTGATCAAACTACTAAAAGCGTTTGTGTGGGCTGCGACAAGTTTTTAATCTCAAAGGTATTCAGTTTTAGCACAAATTAGCACTAAAAGGTAGTTTCGTTGACAAATAAATAGACATCGGCTATATTACTGTTTGACAATACGATGGAAGAACTTTTTTTTCACCTTTTTAAATGATGAAATAAGCAGTACATTAAGATAAGATCTCATATAAGTGTCCATTATTAAATTGAAATATTCTCCCTGTATTGAAGACAATACTAAACAATAACGAGGAAAAGTTAGCCTGTGTGACCCTATGATCTAGTTTTCTTTCTTCCTACGTCTGGTTAGTGAGATAACAAAAGTGTTTTTGTATCAAGGAAGCTCTCATGTAAATCGCAGGTAATTTTGCGGTGCTCTTTTAGTCACAACGGTTACCTCTTAATACTGAAGTGAAGAAAACAATTTATAAGTGGTGGTCGAAAATCAATGGACGTATGCTAAGGAATTATCAAAACTCGCCGCACAGTTCTTCAATTCTACCTTCATCAGCAACATTTACTTCAGAACTCCCTCACTAGCGTTTACTCTTTGAAAAGACTATTGACAAAAGATCGATGTACAACGATTCCATTGAACTTCTAATTTCCTCCGCTTAAGCAATGATATTTTTGACGAGCGCTCTCCAACAATTATCGTGACTTAATGAAAGTCTTACAAGACCAAACCGAGGAGGAGGTAATGCTAAGGACGGCAAAGTACTTCTCTGATTGTCTGTTTTACTGCTTGTCTTACTTCCCAAATTTTCTAACAACAAAATACGGATATAACTTCAAGTTAAAGTAAAATGAGACAACTGATACTCTCCATACAAAGACTGAGTCTGCTTGATATGTTTTATTATAGATTGGTGCGCAACAAACAACTAACGCTAACTGCACCCGCAGTGCACTGTACACAGCCTCTCTGTATCGCGTCAACCGAATAGCGACTGCATCTTAACTAGTAAATAGTGTGTGTTAACCCCTTAACTCCCAGATCAAATTTTTATTTCTCCTTACTATCAGTCATACAATTCTTATAATGTTAGTCAAGAGAATATATTATTGGATCAACTAATTATCCCCAAATTGATATTTTTCTTTACTCTCACTACTTATCTGTTTGATTTTGTATTGATATTGTAAGGAGAAATTCTGTCTTGGTCACTCATGGGAGTTAAAGGGATAATTAATTAAGATATGAAGCTCACAGGAAACTGAGGAGACATCATCCAGCCATGACACCCTCGGCCTCGTTTTGAGTACGAAATTTCATCAAATACTAAATTATTCATTTCGTAACATATTTACTTTTCTTTCGACTCTACATTATTTATTTTAACTTTTAAACCATTATTTTATTCATCGATGGGGAAATAGCTGAGAAGCAAACCACACGAGTGCCTTCATTGTCAAAAAAAAATGCAACAACTTATTTGATTCTTGTGTAAAGTTCTTTTCTCGGCAATTCTCCTTCCCATTTATCTCTTCTTTAATTATTCCGAATAGCGACTGCAGCTTGACTAGAAAACAGTTATAAATAAGCAACACAGCGGTCAAATGATTACGCGTGCGCTTTTAGATGGATAATTTGCTATTCTAGACATTGAGAATCCAAATGATGCGTAGTTTTTTGCAGTTTCTTAGGAAAGTTCAAAGTTTCTAAGACCTAGACTTATACACTTTGTTGCTCTAGACTTAACCCATGTGGTTCTAGTTTACACTCTCGTACTTTTTTTTTAAACTTTGCCTAGCGGCGCGATGAAATCGTAAGCCTGGACGTGCTGGCGGTGGTTATTCCTTATTGCATTTATGGTGGAGTTGCCGTCATCACCGAGGGAAATGTGTGAAAAAAGGACGAACCAGTGCCACATAAGATATTGGTGACGATAACAGGTCTATGTTATGATAGTAGACTGTGTAGCAAGGGTAGAAGAAAGGTTCTGTCATTTGATTTAGACCAAGATTTAAGTTTTCTCCGAAATCCCTCTCTCAACGGTATTACGCATTCAATTTGGAATAGTTAGGAACTTAACCTCTCCTTCTCCACTTTACGCAGAACACGCGTTTGAAAATCCCCCGTATTCTTTCCAAAACACGTGCATGCGCAGTGTTTGACTGCTGTGGTTGAATTGGCCGCTACTAGCTGTTTACTCCAATCAATAAAATTTAATTCGAGCACTAATTAGCGCTAAAGTCAAATCCCATGGCAAACATGAAGATATCAGCTATATTGCTGTTTTCAAAACAATAAAGGAACTTGAGTGTGACTTTTTCTAAGTAATGAAATAATCAGAATATTTAGTCCAATTTTAGTCCAATCACGAGTCCAATTTTTTTTTACATCATTCAAAGTTCCCCGCCTATCTTCGTAATTTCAGTTTGTCGAGGCTGATAATGATTGAAGTCCTAATTTCACACAGATGATATGGACACTTGATTAGCTCCCTATCGATGAAAGTTCATAGGGAAAAGTGACCAAAATAGCAACAAATTACCTTAATTTAAGAGTCAAACGTAAAGATAGGCATCTTTGATACTATTATTATTTCGCAATTATTATTTCGCAATTATTTTAAACTCCGTCTTCTCGGGTAGAAATTCGCCTCTAGCTGAGCGGAGGAGATGGAGTCTTACGTTAAATCTCGGAAAAATTTAAGAGCTAATGTCAACAAACATTAGACAAACAGCGGCAAGTCACCCAAAATTGTTTTCACTCACACTTTCATATTTTGTAGCCCAATATGTCCTAATAATTGTGGTGTAGATTTTTGTGAGAATATATTTTCTTTTTCGAGAAATAATTTTTTTAGCTCGACCGCTCAAATATGCAAATTTTACCGTGAATGTTACTCGAGTTGTGTGACCTCGTGTAACGAATATACTTGACCTCCGCTATTTCTGACAACATAATCCTTTGTTGTATCATCTAAACTTAATCCCCTGTCATTTTTGAAGCTGGCAAAGAAATATTTATTTTTTGGTGAATATTTTTGTCCGAAATACTTTTTCTATGTCGAAAAGTAGCATCAAGACAAAGACAGTTTAAACAATGACCGATAGGACAAAATCTACTGAGCTTCTAGCTTTTGAAATACAAAAGGATGGTTATGAAGTTACTGTGTGAGAGATTATTCAGCGTTAATTGATTTCCGGTTGATTTTTTGCGATAAGTGACAGATGATTGAACAATAGGATCATATTATATATTTAAAATGAGAGAGACCAGAGCGAAGGACAGAAAACGGTGAGAGAGAGCGGGAGATTAAGTTGATTTTATAAAATAAAACGTGAAGTTTCGTAACATAGCAGATTCTTTAGTCTCATTTCCGACACAGTGGCACCTCCGACGGGACGCGCGAAGCATGGAGGAACTAACCAAAGAAGCAGAGGCTAAATTGCAGATGTTGCTGTACACTGATGGAAAAACACGTGGCATTGTGGAAAAGGGAAACCTAGGAGCGGTCGCGCGACATCGCGACAACCTACAAGCATTAGTAAAAGAAGTAGACGCGCTTAAACTAAAGGTTGAACAGACCATGTTCAAGGCCGGGAAAAGTGCAGAAGACATTGGAAGTTGGAGCAGCAGCATTGAAGAACCGATCGCCGAAGCTGACGAAGAAGTTTCGCGACTAGAAAAATGGCTCGCGGAGACGAATGGAGAGATCGAACATCGAAAGCACAAGGACGAAGAAGAAAGGAAAGCCCGTGCTCGTGAAGAGGAGCTTAAATTCGAAAGAGAGCAAATGGAGATGAAGCTAGAATTCGAACGCCAACTGGAAGAGACCAAGGCAAAACAGCAACCTGTTGAGAAGGCCAATCAGATTGAACAAAGGACAACAAAGCTACCGAAACTACAGATCACAAAGTTTAATGGGACGTATGAAGCATGGCTGCCGTTCTGGAACAAATTTCAAGCTGAAATTGATAAAGCAAACCTTGCATCTGTGACCAAGTTTGCATACCTAAAAGAGCTGGTAGATCCAAAGGTTCGAGCG